GAGGAGGGGAGCTATGGGGGGGAAAAAAGAGAAACTGTAATAATCTGAACAATAAAGATTTAATTATTTTAAAAAAAGGAAAGGAATACACATATCACATGGAAAACTACATCTATCGTATGTCTTTATGTAATGATAAAAAAAAAACTACATCTATTCTATGTTTTTATGTAATTTTTCCTCTTTCTCACCAGTCAGGACATTATCAATATATGGAGGGAGGGAGGGAGGGAAGGAGAGAGAGAGAAATAGCAATAAAAACATGAAAAGCAAGTGGTCTGGCGGCAGAATACTGGGGTTCAATCTCAGGTTCATCACTTATTATCTACGTAACTTTAGGCAAATTACTTAATCTCTCTGTGGCTCAGCTACCTCATTTTAAAATGGGAATAATGATAATGATGATAGTGATGATACCTACACCTTATTGTTGTAAGGATTCAATGGTATAATGTGCATAAAACACTGAGCACAATACCTGGCACTTCTTGAGGTATCAACAGATGTTAGACAATATCTATGTGCATGTTGCTTTCAAAATGTAGCTATATAGCCAACAAGGACTTACTGAATTTTAATTTCTTATAATAAGAAATTCTGGTAAACATTTAGAAGGAATAAGAAAAAAAGAAAATTAGATTACTGGCAACCAATAAACATTAAAAAGAAAATGAGTTACATAACAAGTATTAGACTTGCATTAATTAAGTGGTTCCTGGAAGATTTGGAGCATGAATCAGAGTACTCAAGAGCTCTCATTACTTTTCTAATCTTATACATGGAGATGATTTTATTAAGTGATCATCTCAACATGAAACCCTGACCATATAGGAATGCTGCAAATCAAGGCCCAAATCCCAAGTTATCAACTTGTGAAAATGGAACAGCTTGAAGCCCTGAGTATTACAATAGCAAACTTGATTAAATTATCCCTGAGGTGTAGGAGCTAGACAGCCATTGATTGTCCCTCCACATGTCCACTGTTTTAATTTTTCTCAACAAGCTTACTTTGACCAAATCACATGTTACCTAATTCATACTAATTTTCCACAAGGTCTTCTCTACATCTGGCGTATATTACTTTCATTATCCTAATTAGCTATTAATTATGCTTTTCTCACAATATATAAAATGTACGTGTACTCTTGCAAGAACTGTACTTGACAGATATTCACACTTATTTAACAGCTCTACCTAAGGACAAATGCTATAATATCAAAAATGTCTTAAAGTGACTAAGTATCTAGAAGGGAAAAAGGAGATTTGCTTAAAATTTTTAATTTGGATGGGTATGTGCTATCTCTACCAAAAATAATGAAGATTCCATGCTACATTTTTATGGACAATTTCATAAAATAGGGCACCCACAAGCATGCAAATGACCACATGCTTGAAATTGTACAAAGTCCTCCTTCTTATTTGACTTTCATGAACATTTGTATCTATGGCCAACTTAAGAACTGAGCTGTAAGCCCATGCCCTCCTATTGTGTTTATGTAGTGAAGGAATTTATTTAAAGGGGCCAGAAATATCTATAAAATATTACTTAATGAAAAATGACATTGAGGTATCAGCATTTGAAGATATCTATTCATAAGATCTTCTGTGTACAACACAGGCTTTGAGGACATAAAACTGAAAGGCAATTCCTATGTCACAGTCTATAACCCGTAAATCCACACAGTATGGGAGATGAGTGTGGTGACATATGCATTCACAAGTACAGAAGAAGGAGGGCCACCCAATCTATACTTGAAAGTGGATAGGAAGGTTCTTACACAGAAG